GCTTGTGTGCTCAATATGATCAATAGAAAATATATGCCTACTTCCTTAGCTTTTTCCCCAAGATTGCTTCTGGATTCCCTGATGCAGATATATCATGACATGACTCTACTTCTAAATCCCAGAAAACAGTTGCAAACTTAACCTTCTTGACTCTAGATTTATGGCATTCAATCACATACTCTTGGATGGACCTCAATATAAAAAAGTTAACATTAACAGTTGACTAGAATTTTGATTAACTTTAGTAATATAAAATTTGCTGAATCAGACAAAATAGCAAAATCATATAGTTCTAGGAAAGTCTTATGTGCATGAATGATTGTTTATAATGTGATTTGTCTATAGTGAACCTGGTTACAGGGTGATTTGGTTCTGAATATTTTGTGGAACCTATATAGTTCAAGTTATAAACCATAGTTCATAGCTTAGTTACATTGTCTGAATCCAGCCAACTATGGTTTATGAAACAATCTATGTCTAATTTAAATAGGCAGACCATATAATTTTGTGAAGCAGCAATGCATTTATTTGTTCACTACAGTCCAAGGACCGTTTTATGATTAAATAAAATGTAAGGTAGAAAGTGTTTTTCCATAGAATCAGAGACATTTTCATTTTAATATTTCTGTATATCCCTGGAAAATAAACTACCATGTTTTCAGGGAAAATAACATGAAAAGGGGGCTGTTTATAAACAATCCATAAAGAATAAGAAAAAACCTAAGAGGTACCATTTAATATAGTTTGTGATCCTATAAAGAAATAATAAAAAGCAGAGAAAACAAGAGAAACACAGCGACTGTGCGGCTCCAGGACAATCTTAAGAATGCAACTATATCTTAGAGATTCAAGGATTACCTTGAACTGCAGAACAGGTCCCAGCCATTCTTTTCTGCTTACTAGCTGATTTTCAGGGCTAGGGAAAAGGAGGATTATAGTGTGCAAAGCATCAAGTAATCCTTTTAACTTAAGTATGTCAGTATTCATTGAGAACTGTGGGAAAGTGGAGGTTTGACAGATCTAGGAGAAATGTGGAAGGAAGTTGAGTTTTTAGCCATTACTAGAATGGGAACTCAGATTAACAACAATTGAAAGCAGAAATGTCAAAAAAATGGACCTGGGTTTTAGTTTAATATTACTGATCTCTTTTGAGAATGTAGCCAATAAAAACATTTGAATATTGTATTTAGTCAATTAAGAGCACACTTATTCCATTTGTAAGGGCATGACGTGGAGATGATGCCCTTATTGTGTAATTATATTTCATGTCACTATAATAGTACAAGGAGGAGGAACCTGTAGAAATGATCAGATTTTGATATGTTTTTAGAGGAGATAATAATATCTTCATGGAGACATTTATTCTGCTCAGAAAGCAGCAGTTCAAAAGTGCCTCAGCCCAATTATAGGGTGTATCATAAGCCTCAAGTAGAATTATGGTTATGAATTTCATAGCATGATTTAAATTCAAAGGGCTTATCTGAGCAATCATCAGAAATACTCTGATAGGGTGATGAGCAAAGTCAAAGGCTACTTCAGACTCAACAGTTATGAAATGCACTGAATATGATGTATTATGTGGCAGATGAAGAACAGAGTACCCATGCAAAGATGCAAATTAATCTTTAGAAAAACTAATAACACAAAGAGCTAGGTCTTAAAGTGGACATTCTGAAGTAATCTAAAGGGATTTTTGAAATGGGGCAGGGAGAACTTAATCATGGCTAGAAAATCTATGGTTGTACAGTTAGAACAGCTGTGGATGGGATACAGTGGATGGGAAGGTTAGAACCAAATGAATTCCAAAGGACCTGGTTTATGAAATTTTAAAAAAGAAGCATTTTAACCATGAAACATGGTAAAAGGAAATACTGAGGGATGAGAGTTATGTTATAAAAACCATGAAACTGCACATTATAAAGTTTAACTAGAAGAAAATAGAGGTGAGAAGAGTAGGATGAAATAGCCTTTGGGATTATATGTAATTCTTAAAAGGAGAGTTAACAATTCTTGAGATAGATTCACTCTTGACCTTTAAGGAAGAACAGAAATTTACCCATGCCAAATTTACAGAGAATGTAGAAATCTAATTTCTTAATTTCAAAAGCATTCATATTCCAACATGACACAAATGGCAGAAGGCATTGATTATATGTTAAAGACCTTGCTGCCAATATTTTGCTTCCTAGTGTAAGTAGGAAGTATACAGTTTCTTATAGAATTTGTGAATTATGATCATTATGTGATGAGCAGATTTGTGTAGAGGTAATTCTTGGGTTACAATGGTAATTGAGATCAGGATTGCTGTCACTAAGCGATGCAGGCATAAACTACATCACCACAGGGCCACATATTGCTTATTATCAACTATAATCCCAAAACTCCTGATTGCTGGGGTCATAACCCCAGGATGCACAGATCATTAAGTAGGAAGAGGGGACAGTACCAGGTAAGGCATGCAGGAGTGCCATGAGAGGTAAGGAGGCTGGGAAGGTCATATGTAGACCTGGTGAAGCCAAGGGTGGCTTTCAAATGGCCAGTGGAGGCCATATGCAGGTGGCCATCTCTCTGGAAGTATGTATGGATTTTATCTATTGTCTTCTCCTCAATCATGCAAGAGAATATTTGGAAAGAATGTCTATGGAGATTCTCAGTCATCCAGATCATGGTTGTTCCAAATGTGTTCTTTCAAGAGGCAACTGGACTTTCTGGTTTTTCTTTGAAGACATTTCGCTTCTCATCTAAGAAGTTTCTCAGAAAATCCAGTTGCCCCTTGAAAAAACACCTCTGGGATTTGGAAAGAATATTTTATTTGAGTATTTAGATTTTTATTAAGGCTCAGAAACCATGCCTTGTTTTGTTTCCTTTAAGAATTGTTGGCCTTCATTCTCTTCACTGTTCATAGGTCTTGAAAGTAGCTGACCCAGACAATTCAGATAACATATACCTTCCAAGGATTGCTTTTCGTTAGAAAATGTATTCTGTAAAAACTTAAGAGACCACGTTATAGGAGGAGCAAACTTCCTTATATGGGATATGTGGTGATGGACTTGGGCGAATGGGTAAGAGTGTGGTGTTGAGAAGGAGGGACTCATTGCAATGTATATAAGCGGTGCTGGTAGGAAGAAGTCTTTGCAGTTGCTCTTGGAGGAAAATCAAGAACTTCTTCAGATAGTTGCCTGCCTTTTTTCCCCTTAAAAAACTGAACCTGGTTGAGGACAATCTAGGTAAGGAAAAAATTATTCCAACAGTATTGGTGTTGCAATGAGGTAGCAGGTAGCAATGAGCTCAGCTGGACGGCTGACTTCCATGATAGTGACACCCTGCCATTTACTCAAAGGGTGTCTTTCTGATAATTTGACCTGGAAAGTAATAAAGGGAATTTATAGTCTTGAGGTAGTTGCCCAAATTAAGTCATTTCATCATTGGTAAGTATCTGATTTTTTTTCTCTTCTTTTTATGCCCAGTGATTGTGAGTGTGTGTGATACCCTTTGATAAAACCAGCCTGTTGACCAAGCTGTGTGTCTACTACTCTCAGCCACCTTCAGACCTCTGCTAGCCTTGTTGGTGATGATCAGAGAACCCTGAATAGCAAGGGGGACCAGTGAGATCCGTGTGCTTCAATAGGGCAGTGAAAGGTTGTGTGATTGAACCATAACTGGGCAAATTATATCTTTAAATTGTTAAGGGAACAGCTCAGAAAGAAGAAAGCTCACGGAGGACCAGTAATCAGAAAGTCTTCAGGTGGATCCAAAAGCTTGTGAACTCAAGGCAGAATTGAGATGGGTAATTAAGGTCCTTTGGGAAAGGGTTTATTGGCTTGGGATAAATGGTAAAGAATTTAAGAGTAATTCTTAAATTTCATGCACTGTTTTTTTTTTCTTAGCTCAGAACAACTGAGTAAAATATTCCAACACTCTTTTCAACAGCAATCCAGGTAAGTCAATGAAGTATAGATGAATTAATACAGAGAAAGAAAATTAATATAGCCATTTATATGACTAAAAGCAATTCTAGGCAGTATAATGTCTTATAATTATATGTTATAATTCTTACATCTAATTTGGTATTTGCGGTTGGTAACTGAGGTTTGGTTCTCTTCACTGAATTTTGAGATTTGTGTAATTACTAGCATTTCTTTCTAAGAAGTACCTGCGTTTATATGTGCAACCCACAGCATCTTCTTGGTCCGCCCCGAAGCAAAGTAAATCCTTTCTGGGACTTGGTATAACTTAAAATTTTATTTCTAACGGCGCCCCTGTCAGATACCCCGAAACAATCTGATGTTGATCAAAAAGGAAGACACATTATTTAAGATCTAAGTCAATGTTAGACCGGCTGGACTTAAAAGGGACTTGTAGCCCTGGGGAGGTATCGCTTTTCTTGGGAGAGGACTTCTCACCAGCTATCCCTCCCATCCCACCTCCGTGGCTGAAGCCGCCCGGCTATCTCCGCCTTGAGGCCCATCACGTGTGCTCGCGACCGGTGGAACCAGGCGCACTCCGCAGCCCACTCCACTGGGCTCCACCCTGGGCACCCCCCCTTTATCCACCGTCTTCACTTCAGGCTTGCCCGCCTGTCTTGCGCCCGGCGGTAGGTAGATCGATATTGCACCTTTATTTGGGGAAAGGGGGAAGGGATGCTGGAGGCGACGGTGGCAAAGAATTGGTCTTTCTCCCTGTTCTTTTCCAAACTCTCTCAATGAGAGTGGGAGGAGAACACACCACAGAGCGCGCTTTTCAATCGGCTGCGATTGGAGCGACTAGCTCTCGCGAAGTTTCTATTTGCACCCAGAAAAGTTAGCCCGTTTCAATTTTCTCAAGAGTACGGGAATGGTCACCCTACTGCGCACCCGTCACCCCTTCTTGGATCGTCTTCCGAAAAGAAATAATACTTTAGAGAAAGTTTGTTTCGGGATCGCAAATTCGCGTCCACGGAATAAGTTGCGTTTCATAACGCAGGAGGGAGACTTTCTGGTAGGGAAACAGTGATTACATACTGGCTCGATATCAGTACAGCTGTAAAAGTGGAATAGGCAACCTGGTGCCTATAAAATATTTTCGCATTACAGATACTGTAACTGCAAAGGTGGCCAGAAGAAGCCGTGACTCCATTCTTTTAGCTTAAAGAAACAGTATTTTGATGATGCGAATTGTTGCGCTCCTAGATACGCCACTCCTTAACCCAATCATTTCTAATTGGGGGTAAGTCTTCAGGTGTTTGAATTCTCCCAGGTACCCAGCTAAAGTTAAACTATAATTGAAATTTGTACAGACTGAAAATTAGAAAGCACATTGGTTGAGAAACATTACCTTAAGCATTAGCGGGGATTGAGGTAATTATTAATGCAACCTATCAAGAGGATATCAGGTTGCCTATTAGTGGCTGAATAATAAATATTATTAAATATCTTCTGGCTTATTAAAGAAATTCTGAGTATTTGAACAAAAAATATTAGAGGTACCTGCAAGTTTGGGCAACTCAGCTGTGCTAACTGAAGTCTTGCTGTTTCTTCCCTCCTTTTTTTTTTTTTTTTTTTTGCCTGTTTAGGATCCAGCTTTTCCTTCTGAAAAGAAAAACGTGGGATTGCTTTTTGCTCTTAGCCAAGGTGATGGAAAGGGTAATTTTATTCATTTCCCTAATTTATCTAGAAATAAAATTGGGATTCCTTTTGGGTTCTTGATAGTTGAATGCTACTTAATCCGGTTGCTAGAGAACAGTTAGAAGAGTATTATTGCCACCGTGGGGTTTCTAAGATAGACCTTCATGGATTGATTGTATGATACAAATGGGCATTTCACATGGCCTTGCAAGGATCTTCTACACAATGGAAGAATGGTGGTGAATAGACCTTAGATCTCTGGTTGTGATGCCACTGGTCTCATGCCCTGAATTAAGACGATGTCCAACCTAATAATTGAAAGACAGTGACTTGGATAGGTGTGTCAAATGGATAAATTATTATCTTAAACTATAGGTTAGCCAAAAACACTCATGGGGAGAAGGAAGGGGGATTCAACTGTTTGTTTAAAAGGATATAGTCAGTCAATTAGCCATTGTGCCCAAACTGCTAAAATGGAATGGCAAAAAAAACTTTAGCAGATGGAAGAAAAGAGTGCTTGTAGCAAGGATTCTTTCTTTTATGGAGAACATAATGCACCACTATTATGTTCTCAATAAAAGTTGTTAACTGTACACCTGTTATGTATTGAATAGTTCATATTTAAATTAAGTTATTTTGCTGCACTAAAACTCCTGAATATGATTCTTAAAATCAGAACAAAGTAAGGAGGATGGACTGCAATATGTTTTTTGAATTTCACTCTTACCACCACTGTCCATTACACAGAAATTGAAAATGTACTTCACTGGAGAACGCACCTTTCTTTAATAATTAATTACAACTCTGTAATGAGTTTTCTAGTGTAAATGCAAAGACAAAATTAGTTCAGCATATAACGATCACAGCAATTGCTAGCTCAACTATACAGTAAGGTAAGAATTAATAAGATTTTTTCTTGGAAGCCAATTATTCATTGTAACTAGATTACATAGTCTGTCAAATTGTTAAAACCTATAAAACTTCATATTATAATAGAGAAAAACTTGTATAGAACATGGGTGTCAAACTCAATTTCATTGAGAGCCACATCAGGGTTGTGTTTGACCTTGGGGGACCTGGATGGGTATGGCCAGCTCAACATCACTCGTGTTGAGGGTGCCTGTGGTGGCCTGAGTGCTCTGCCAGTGAAAATGGGCTCCCAAGCTCCATTTTTGGCTGCAATGGCCTCCGGCAACCCTCTGCCAGTGAAAACGGAGCTCAGGAGGGCCACCTGCTCGAGAGGACCATCTGTTTTCACTGGCAGAGGTACCACAGGCCAGGGTCCTTCGCTGTTTCCAGGGCAACCCTGTGGGCCAGATCTAAGCACCCTGCAAGCCGGATCTGTCCCCTGGGCCTTGAGTTTGATACCCCTGGTATAGAACAATCTTGGCTTATATATTAGGGAAAAGCTCATAGCATATGATTCAATTCCTGGTATTTTTAGTTAGGCAAAAAAAGTTTGTGATCTGAAATTCTAGAGAGATGTGGCCAGACAATATTAAGTTCAGAGGACCATCACATTGATTCTGTCAAAGGAAGTTTCTTCCATCTTTTCCATGGCATGCTTCTGTTCAGTGCATTCCACCAAACAGCTTTTGTCACTGAACATGCTGAACCCTGTGGGTTTATTTTTTTTTAGGAGTTATATATTTAATGTATTTCTCTCTCTCAGATCTTCTAACTTTCCAGATAATGTTCTTAAGTTTTGGTAATTATGTCCATTGTTTTGGCTATGTACCTATTAGCCCTGGAGAAAATGAAATTACTGTCACAGCAGATATATAATGTCCTGGACTGAAATGCCACTAAACTGTTGCTGAGTCCAACCATGCTTGTCAACTTGTACTTACAGCTCTGTGCAACAACTAGTATATTTATTTCACTAAGATGTCTTACTTGTAGTGTTGCTCCATAATTGTCCTATAATAAGTTTTATTTTGGCGGAAGGGATTGTCTATTTTTGGGTAGATTTGGGCTTACATTAATAATGTATGATGGTCTTAAATGTAAGAACATTCTATATCAGGGGTGTTAAACTGACGGTCTGGGGGCCAGATGTGACACACAAAGGCCACGCCCACCTCAATTCTGTGAAGGGAAAAAACATTGCAATATGTCACGTGATGGCAATGTGATGCTGCGAGTTTGACACCTGTGCTCTATATGCTAGATTACATTTGTCTTTTATATTTACTGCCCTATCTTTAGGTAATTAATAAACTGTTGCTTATATGTGCAGTCTTTCTAAATCTGTTATTTTTGAATTTTGTTTCTTTATTACTAATCTACTGATTTGCAACCTGAATCAACCTGCCTAGCATCTTCTCTCCATTGGTTTATTAGTTTTTCTGGGTGTTACTTAAGGAATAGAACTGAGTAGAAAATTAACATCGTGGGAGTATTCATAGTACAAAATGATTATTTTTCCAAGCTGATTATTTTATATTTTTATGAATTGGATAGATGCTGCAATTGGCTGAAATATTTGCTGCCCCAAGTGATGAAGAAGATTTTCTTGGTTTTGAACTTGATATTCCCATGAAAACGTTGTCATTGGAAGATAGGAATGAGAACTTGCCTGGAACATCGAGAATGGTAGGGGAACATGCAGAATTTTCATCCAGTAAATAAAATTCCTTGTGAAGTTCATGGTCTAAATTGCAACTTGATTATTTTTCTTATATAATTGCTTTCTAAAATATAGTAGAATAAGGTGACCAGACGTCCCGCTTTTGGCGGGACAGTCCCGCTTTTTAGCAATTTGTCCCGCGTCCCGCGGCGTTTCAAAAAAGTTCCGATTTTTCATTCTGCCTCCTCAGTCCCGCTGCCTCTTGAGCCCCAGCTGATGGCTAGAAGAAAAAAAAACTGTTTAAACTCTTGCCCGGGGCTTCAAAGGGCCGCCCTACAGGCAATCAGTGTAAAGAGTTCCTGAAGCTAGCTAAGCTGCAGAAACGAAACTGAAACCAGGATCTTTGGTGCAACGTGACAAAATGAGGCAGAGAGATTTATTTTTATTTTTATTTTTCCTCCCCAAAAAAGGTAGGTGAAAAACTGCAAACAATGGGAAATTTAGGAGGAGAGTTCAAGATTTTAAAACACAAAAGAAAAAAAAGCTGTATTTAACTAGGGAATTGTAATAATTGAGATACTATTAATTGTATATTGTGTTGAAAGCAGAAATGGTTAAGTTGTGGTTCAGAGGAATATATGGGAGAAATTATTTGGTTTATTATTATTGGTAAATATAATTAATTGATTTGTAAGAAATTGGATTGCATGGAAATAATTGGAATATTCATGTTCATATTGATTAATATACAAAAAGATAGTTTTATAACTAATTGATTTATATTAAAATGTTGAATTTGTATTAAACAACTGTATTACATAATTACATAATTAAACAATGTGAGGATGGATATAAAAATAGATGACAATGGGAAGGGGTATAATATAGAATAGAAGGGAAAAATTGAATTTGATTAAGATTAGAGATGAGGATGAAGGGTAATATTGTTTTTTTAAAAAAATAGATGAATAAATATGGCAAAAAGGAAATATAGAAATTGTAAATTTAATTGAAATGACTAAACACTGTTTAAATTTGTGAACCAGCCAAATATTCTGTTCAAAGAAAATACATTGTATGTTTGTATGTGTGTTTCTAATTATTGCTATTTATTCATATTTGTTCTCTTTTATTCTTTAAAGTTTAACAATTCATTCTTTATCTTAATATCTTTATATTTGCTTGGGGTTGGCTTTCTACCCTTTCATCTTTTTTTATTGTACAGCAATCTTTCTCCTCAAACCTACCACCTCTCTCTTTTCTTTCCTTCTTACTTTCTCTTCCCCCCACCCTCTTTTTCTCCTCCCTACTTCCTCTTCCTTTCTCCTTCTCCTCCTCTCTTCCTCCCTCTCTTACCCTCACTCCTACTCTAATTTCCATTCCTTCATCCCTCTCTATTGCTGTATCCTTTAATGCATATGGACTACTCAGAGGGCTGAAAAAGTTATTTTTGACTGGTCCTCACACTTTTGACCAGTCCTCGAACTTATGACTGTCCTCACATTTTACGTTTTTGCCCTATCTTGTCACCATGGTGAAGAGAAGCAGTTGTGAAATGAGTGACATGGTTGTTAAGAATGCTGCACGGGCATAAATGTGAGGATGGTCATAAGTGTGAGGACCAGTCAAAAGTGCGAGGACCTGTCAGAAATGACTTTTTTCAGCCCTCTGGTTAGTCCTTTTGTGCATATGGACTACTCGGAGGGCTGAAAAAGTTATTTTTGACTGGTCCTCGCACTTTTGACCAGTCCTCGAACTTATGACTGTCCTCACATTTTACGTTTTTGCCCTATCTTGTCACCATGGTGAAGAGAAGCAGTTGTGAAATGAGTGACATGGTTGTTAAGAATGCTGCACAGGCATAAATGTGAGGATGGTCATAAGTGTGAGGACCAGTCAAAAGTGTGAGGACCTGTCAGAAATGACTTTTCAGCCCTCTGAGTAGTCCCTATACACATAGCCATGGCCACCCAGTCACATGACCAGCTAGCCACGCCCGCCCAGTCACATGGCCTCCAAGCCACGCCCACAATAAGTCACGCCCACAATGGTGTCCTTCTTACCAATGTTAAAATCTGTTCACCTTACCCTATACACATAGCCATGGCCACCCGGTCACATGACCAGCTAGCCACGCCCACCCAGTCACATGACCAGCTAGCCACGCCCACCCAGTCACATGACCAGCTAGCCACGCCCACAAAATAAGCCACGCCCACAATGTCCCTCTTTACCAATGTTAAAATCTGGTCACCTTATAGTAGAATCAAGTGAAAAACCTGAAGTAGAGTAAATTTTTCTTCTTTTTGTAGTTGTAGGTTCTATTTCTATTTCTTTATGGAGTGTTCTTCCAATGAATATGCAGTTGCATTTTATTGCCTGATCCAGTACTTTTTACTAATAATGTTTAATAGTGCTGTGTATGATTATGGACTTAAAGCTATTCTCTAAATAACCATTGTAATTTCTGCAGTGCATTTTTTGTTACAGTATTTCAGATAAATGAATATTTGAATTAATTGATTAGTTAGATGTCACAGTAAGCTGGTTCTTATTTGGATCTATATTTGAAAATATTTTACTATTATATTTTCTGTTGTCTAATGTAGAGCCTGGCCATCTGTCTTTTGCTCTTTTTCTGTGTACCAAGCCAACTTGAACAATTCATCTGAAATTACTGATAACAAACCAGATAATTGTAAATCTACTTAACTAAAAATCAAGATATTTATAAAAGATACCTTTTAATATGATTGGTGTAGGTAAGGGACATAAAATATTAGCTTTTTCATACATATTGTATGTAACATAGGTTGTTTATTCATTCTTTTTTAGGCAATGGAATTAGACCGAGACTATAACCCATCTTTAATGGAGGAAGAAGAAAATGAAGAAGAAATGGAAACTGAGTCAACTCATAAGAAGAAAAAATTCAAAACTCGGGGGGTATTACAGCTTACTAACAAATCAGCTAAAAAGTCTTTTACAAATGGGAGAAATGCATATCCAAATACTTCTTCTGAATCTGAGGCAGATGAGACACCAGATGAAAACTCTAATGTACTTTTGAAGAGAGATCAGAATATAAAAGAAAATAAAGCTGTGGTGAGAACTAATTCAGCATTCTTAGATGGCATTAATAGTCAAGAAAACAAAGAAATGAGTTGTCACACATGTAATTCTAATTGCCTCTTTTATTTTATCAAACATATTTTTTTATCTAACAAAGGCAAATTAATTGGATTTTAGTGAAGGATCCAAAGATGGACACCAATCACTGGATTAGTAGGAACAAATTATTTTCAAATCTAACTTAACAAGCCTTATGCATTATTGTAGTTCAAACTGTCACCATTTTGTTTGGGTTTGAATTTCATATTAACTATTGATTTGTTCTTGTGGTTGCACTCGAGGAAAACTTGAGGTTTATTATTTTAATACTATATCACTTAGTACCAGTCTGAATGCTGGAAGCTTAATACGACTAAAAAAAATGATGCCCAAAGTTTTTCAATGAAATTCTGCTTATACATTACAAGTATTTCCCTTGAATTTCATACCTGCAGTAGATAAGGCTGATGCCAAAATTTAGTGGGCTGTTTTCATACCGCGTCTCCTCCTCATTCATTGGATGAAAAAGGCTTGGAACAGTTATGTTTATCAATGCTTATAGTTGAGTATAATCATATATTGCTACTTAATAAATTTTAAACTATTGTACCAGTGTAAAAAGGATAGTGTGCTTTGAATTTGTTATCTTACCCTTTGAAATGAAGGATAAAGCCTGCTAACATGGCTTAAGTATATGAAGTAATTGCTTCCATAACTTTTGAAATATGAATAAGTTTATTATTAACTCCAAACTTTTGTTGTAATATTCTAAACAGTGAAACTAATCATATTAGTGCAATTTTAAACTATATGATACATTACTAAAATTATTCTAAAAACCAATCGAAGTGAAGATGTCCCAAGAGTAAAGAATGTCGGAGCAACGATCCATGAAAATGTGAAGATCTATATTTTTAAAAATGCATCATGAAATAGTATATAGATAAGATTACCATTAAGAACTATTTGATTTATAAAGAAAATCAATTTCATTTTCCCATTTCAGCTCGCACAGTTACTAGCAGAACTAGATGATGCACCTCCCTCAATCGAAATAAATACTCCTTCCTCAATTGTAAGTATGAATAAATTTTCTTTTACAAAAATTGTTTTGCATTTTTAAGATTGAGTATATATCACTAATTTTTGCAGGGGTACAATATTATTTGCTATGGTTTAAAAAAAAAAAATTTTTTTTTTACTTGAACCAAGTATGACAATAAAGTCATAAAATTATGACTTTTTCTTTCAGTCAGACTTGACTCAGAAAGGATTAGCTCCCTACTCTTGCATTTACAGAATTTTTCTTTTATCAAAAGCTTTCAAAATGTACATATACTCTGTTTAGGAAGACATGCAAAATATCTAACTGAAGGAACCAAAATTAGTTTTTCACAATTTTGTGCATGTCTTTGACCAATTCAGTAACTATTTATCTAACACTATAGCCTTTAGACAGTACTCTTTTGATGTGGATATACTGCAACCTGTGAACTGTACACAATATACGTAAAGAAATATGTTGTAGAATGTTCTAGTTGCCTAATAATAATACTTAATCTAAGTACAGCAAAACAAGGAAAATGGTAGGTCTATGTTTCATGTTCCTTTGGAAACTTGCTCTCTTAGGACAAAAATTCTGAAATTAATGTTGGTAGAAATTATTTCCAAACTTTCCACTAATTTTGTCCAAATATGTATCTGTTCTTGTTACATACGCTCCCAAATTGTGTAGGGATTAGCAGTGTGCCATAAAAGGTAATTTGAATTTTTTTTTTTAAGTGGATTAAGCAAGGTGACCATGATAAGCTATTACTTCAGGCTACATATTCATAAAGAAAATGTCTCTCCCTCTTTTGTTTTAGAAACGAAAGAAAGCACCAAGGAAAAGATCTTCAAGAGGCCCAATACAGCGTCGAACTAACCCAATCAGGAATGCTCGTCCCCCAGAAAACTTTGCTGTGGAAAGAAACTCACCTATGCAATGGGTTGATAATGAAACTTATCATACCTTAATGAAGAGAAAACTAAATGAGGTACATATCAAAATTATGTTTTGGATTTATTTTAACAGAGTAATTAGCAAGTAGCAAGGATGGAACTATCAAGCATGAGCCAAATGTTTAAGTGAATAGCCTAGTGCAGGGAATCAAACTTGCGTCATTGCGTCGTCATGTGATGTATCGTGACTTCCCCCCCTTCGCTAAAACGGGGATGGGCATGGCCAGTGCATAATGCAGCTGGCCCGTGAGCCGCGAGTTTGTCACCCCTAGCCTGGTCCTGGTATTGAGTAGCACGTCTTGTGGTTTATAGTCGATTGATTACTGGGCTTACATGCTCTTTCCAATCACAATATTTTGACTACAATAGACTTTGGATTAAACTGGTAAACTTGGTGGACCATTTGAAGATTAAGGATAGTCCAAAATATATTGAGGAAGACATATTGCCTATTTGATCCAGAAGCAATTTCACTAAATTGCCTCTGGAAATTTGAATATACTATTTTCAGATTTTTCCATTTAAAATGTGCTAACCATGCCAGGATTTAAATGGGTGAGTTATAAAAGTAAACAGAATGAATTTTTTGATTTAGCAGGAGAACAATCTATAAAAAGCACAAAGTACAAATGAATTGCACTTAATTTTTCCATTTACAATTTCATAAGTTTCATAAAATATTTTTTTTTTGCAATATTTTCTCATCCTTTGTGCTGCAATTATTGACAAGTATTCAGTCATTTAGAGGGGGAGAATTACATTTTCAGAAAAAATAGGTCAAGGAAGAAAACAGGGAGAAGCTACTCTTATAAAAATAATAAATGTATAGTAAATTAATGAAACCTAAACTTTATGATTCAAGAAACAATTTATAATTAAATATAATAGATGATTTTATTGTACTAAATAATTCTTTAAAATTGACTTACTCTCAAAAGAAGCATAAACTTTATATAAAATAGAAATATTTTAGTGGGTAATCTATTAGACTGCAAGTCCACTTGAATATAGAGTTTGAAGCTGCATTTGATTTAGAGATGGTGAATTTCTCTTATAGCATATTTTAGGAGCACCGAAAAAAAGAAAAATCACCAGAGTTACAGGACTTAGATCTGTTGTTATAACAAATGAAGACTTAGAACAAGTTGCATTTACCAATAAAGAAAAAATCCACCATAAGATTTGGGTAGGTTGTTTTCTTTATAAATTTGCTTAGTTTGACATACATTGACTGAATGCAATATTTTAGATCAAATCAGTTTTTTAACCTCTTTATGTACACAATGTTCTTGAGATATCTTTACATTTATATAATGTTCCAGATGCCACAGTATTATTTATACTGGTTGAATTACTTGTTCTTTCACTTTCCCATGAACATGGTTAATCTTCCCTACTGTCATAGTGTAATGTGAAGTATTTAATATTCTAATTACGGTCTATAATTATACTGACAATTCCTAGAACACAGACAGTAAAATAACTACCAATAAATTATTTATCTTGTCAAGGTATTAGCAGAAGTGCCTGCCTCAAAAAAGAAGTAAATAAGGAATTTAAGCAAAAAAATTTTTTTTCGGGGGGGGGGGGAAGGAATTACTTAGAATGCTAATTTTTCATAATAGTTATCTCTCCAGAATAAAATGACTGTGAGCATTAGATTAAGTTTGGGCTGGTTTTAGTATTGCTGTCTTGTAAAACCTGAAATATTGCTACAGCTTTGTAGAACCAATACAGTAGCAGGCTTTTCAAATTCCATTTATAAATTGGTTTTCCACTCGTTCAATGGATTAGCTAATTCATCTTGCCTTGTTTGAAACATGTATTTGTATTGGGAGTTGTGAAAAAAGCTTCTTAATATTCCAGCAATAAAAATGTATAATTATCTGTGTTTTTGGATAATAGTAATTTGTTAAATTCTTTATCAGAATAATAGGAATAGATTGATGAAAAGCACCATATTTATCTTCATATGTATCGGAAGTGGCTTTCTAAAAATAATATTATCATTTGTCCCACTATTAGGGAACCACATGCCATCAGTGCCGTCAAAAGACAATTGATACAAAAACCATCTGTCATAATGAAGACTGTGTCGGTGTGCGGGGACAGTTCTGTGGACCATGTCTCCGTAATCGCTATGGAGAAGATGTGAAAGTAGCACTTCTGAATCCAGTAAGTTTCTAGTTGCTTGAATTGTGGAATAAAGAAATGGGAGATACAATGAAATTATTGGTGATCTGATTGTTTTATTTTTATTATACATGACTTCAGAAGCATGCAACACTGTGTCTTTATGCAGCCGCTAACTTTGTGGTTTCCATGCTTAGGTGATAACATATTACTTATAAGGTGAACTAATACTCTTCTCCCACTTTTAAGGAGTGGTTGTGCCCTCCTTGCCGTGGAGAATGTAACTGCAGCTACTGTCGCAAACGTGATGGTTACTGTGCCACGGGAACACTTATCCACTTGGCAAAGCTTTATGGTTACAGCAATGTAAAGGAGTACCTTGAAAGGTAAGCTTATACCTAAACCTTTATAGGGCGATTTGCATCAGAAGTATTTCCAATATTGTCAATTCTAAGAAATCACCATATGTAACAGTCTAACTTGCTATGTTTATTTTATTTTTATTTATTTAGATTTATATTCCATCTTTTCTTCAGGGTGGCATATCTACTGCTCCTCTCATCCCCCCCCCATGCTAAACTTTTGGGGTAAGCTGGGCTCAGAGAATGAGTTTGAGTTTGTGTTGATACAGATTTTTCACGAAGTCTGCAGTCATGCAGTTCCACAAGTAATAATTTTGCTTATTTGAATTTATGATTACTTTATATGCTTGTTGGAATATTTATATTCCTTACTTAGTCCATTCTGAACTGAGATAAAAAAAAGAAAACCCACCAGGCAGCTGCATGAAGTTAAGTTCTTTATCCAAGAGCAATGACAGCAAGCTGTTAGGTGGGTGGTGGCACCTTCCAGCCCAGATTAATATACGTCGCAATCAGCTTCTCCTTTCCCAGTCATCCAGTTACATCCTCTATATCATCCCCTATAAGGAATTAAGGAATTTCTTTCCTTCCATGCCAGGGTAATTTACATTTCCTGATAATACACTTGTCTAATAATAATTTGCGGGGTTAAGCTACTTTTAAAGCCTATGAACAGTGAAGAGTAAGAAGTTCAATGAGTCTTAAAGAAAGTGAGATATGGTCTCTGAGTCTTAATAAAATGTTCCTTCTAAATATTCTAACATCCTGTCCAATAGTTTCGAAAAATTAAGAGACTTTTAATTTTGAGAAATAATTTTGTGAATGCATTTAATGATTTTGCTTTTTTCTTACAAAGGTCATTGACTTACTATTTACATTTGGAATCTGGAACAATACAATTGGTGGGATTATAGCTCTTTGAAATAGAGTTTATAATAGTTACATTCTCTTTCTTAAACTCTAAACGTTTTGTTTTTTCTTCTTTATTGCAGCATGCCAATGCGTCATTAATGGAAATGAAAATACTCGAGACATCTGTGCAAATTCTGATTTTGGTGATTTATGTATTTACTATATTTACTTAAAAATTTGAATCTTGAACTTTCATTTATAATCATTATGTTTAAATAATTTCAGAAATGTGGAATAACCACTTTTGATTTATTAAATATTTCTAAGGAAAAAGGCTGTTAATATTGGGAACAGCAATATTTTCCTGCATATAATAAAATGATCTACTGTTTAAAAATATTTTTCTTTATAGACTTAGTTTAGAAATAAAATTATAAAATATTTAGAAATATTAATAGTAACATATTTAGTAATAATAATGGAAAATTTAAAAATAGTAAATTGACTTTGTAATTTGAACCAGACTTTAAACTTCTGAAAAAAAGCAGTCCAAATCACTGTTTATTCTACTTTACATGCAGAAAAAAATCTATAAAGGTCAATATTGTTTAAAATTGGAAGGGCATAATTCAGCCAAGTTGAATTTTTACCAACTGAAAACTGCATATTTCTCAATAGGGTTGTTTTTTTTTAGGGTTAACTATAGGGTGCAAAAATACAGAAGGTCACTTGGTGGCAGCAGAGTTAAGCGTTCTATATGCTTTTCCTACAAAATTGTAGTTTTCTATATTTTTGCACTCCAGTTAAAGAAGTTAACATATTTTATTCTCTGGCTATAATTAAGATATTTTAAGTTTTTGCTTACAGCTATATTATTTACTTACTTTTTGCTTTTGCTACGCAAAACAGAACATACAAGTGACTTTAAAAATAACTTGCATTGGTCTTACAGTATACATATAAGTCCTGTCTGGGTTGAGGCCATATGTGCCATTTATGGAAACTTTAAATGTTATTCCCTCAGGTGAAGAGGGCTGAACCAAAGGTTTATCTGCATATTACATATGTAACATGTATGATTCAGTGACTTAATCCTTTGCATGTTCACTTGTACATATGTACTGTTTCTATGTGCAGTAATGTAAATATATATGTTGCATTAAACAAGTATTCAATAAAAGCATTATCTTGAAGGTTGTCTGTGGTCATTTCAAATACATGATTTAATGTGTGAATACCTTGTTGTAAGTAAGAAAAACGTGTGCCCGCAAGTATTTTGCTAAACTTCCAAAAGCAAGGCTACCCCTGCAAGCACCCATTTGGATGGCCTTTCTTTAGTTTTTAAGTTAAAAGTCCATGTGTAGGTGGGTCCTCTAAGCTTAGTTTTATAAACTGGACATTTGTAAATGTGCTTGGTTTCTTGCCTCTCTACCGGAATTGCTCTGGCAAAGATGACTGGCAGCATCGGAGTCAGGTCCTTCAAACGAGCTTCCGCTACAACTCCTGCTTGAATGTCCCATCTTGCTCCTGCAACCAAGAAATACACATTTTAATTTCTGCAGGGCAAAAGTGTGTAGTTAGCTAGGTAGAATATTAATCACAATTCATGTGCTTTGTTGTATGCCTGAAATCCTATTGATATTAATTCTGTATTCTTTTTATGAATAATTGGGCTTGCTGTTGAAAAGATAACATACATTTCAAAATTTTAGCAGCAAGTACAGAATATTGTGCTTCATTTCATATTATTATATAGTGAACATCATTTTTTAAAAAAATACGCAGATATAGTCTTTGGCTAATGACCATTTGTTTAACAATTCAAAATAAGGATGGTGCTGAAAAAAGTGACATTATGATCCTCACACTTATGACTTCCCTGCAAGTCACATGATCAAAATTAAAGTGCTTGGCAAACTGACATGTATTTACAGTTGTTGCCTTGTCCCAGAGTCACGTTATCCAGGGGGACTTCTAACAAGCATAGTTAATGGGGGAAGCCAGATTTGCTTAACAGCTATGTGATTCGCTTAATGACCACAGTGTGTTGCTTAATGATACAGCAAGCAAGTTCATAAAGTATTGGGTTGGCTTAATTAATTAAATTGGGATGGTCTGGTCCCTATTGTGATCATAAGTCCAGGACTGCTTGTAATCAGAAAGCTTGTTACACTTTTCACTGATTCAATAAAATATACTGGTACTTCATTTTGACATGTCTGATATTGATCAGTTTTTACAGGTGGGTCCTCTAATTAGATCATAGCTAATACAGAATTTTAATAAACTTACCTTCCATGTAAAGTCCAAAAATATATGCACCTTCTCTAGGTGGATGACCATAATCTTCTCTACTCTTTTTGGTAACATCAGTAGTCAAGCACATTTTATCCAGAGACCAATTGTTTTTCCGTGCTGTAGTTTGCATAATGGCTTTCAAGAAGAGATGAATAGTACAGCTTATTTTATGGGTTGCATACTTATTACTATGGATATTTTCCCCTTCCTTTGTATCCAATTCTTGGAGCCTACCTAGACAAATATCTTTTTTTGACGGTGATTTTTTTTCTTTCTTACTAGGATTGAGGGAAAGCTACTGGCTCATGGTAGTATGCCTAAGGTGGGATTAATAATACTTAATAAAAGAGCCTTGTAGTACAGTGGTCTAAAGCACCCTGTTATTAAGACCAGCTGCCTGCAATTACTGCAGGTTCGAATGTCGCCAAGGCTCAAGGTTGACTCAGCCTTCCATCCTTTCTAAGGTAGGTAAATTGAGGACCCAGTTGTGGGGGCAATAAGCTGACTTTGTATAAATATACAAAAGAATGAAGGCTATTGCTTAGCACATTGTAAGCCGCCCTGAGTCTCCGGAGAAGGGCGGCATATAAATCAAATTTTAAAAAAAAAAAACTGCACCAAATTTGCTTTCTTTCTTTTTTTTTTTTTAAATCATACTATTTACAAATTTACTTGCTTATACCTTAATACATTCAGTGAAGTTCAGCAGTATCTTTCTACTATCATATTAACCATTTATTTATACAATCCTACGGCTCATCTCATGTATCTATTTCTATAATTCTTGAGTTATGTTCTCCTAATGTCCTATGTTGTTGGCCCTATCCTTCTTTCTAACCATGTGTACCATTTTTGCCAAACTAAATAAAAGTCAGTGTTCTCTTTATCTTGGAGCTCTTTTGTGAGCCTATCCATCTCTGCGCATTCATTTATTTTTGTTATTATTTTTTCTTCTGTTGGTATTATCTCGGATTTCCAATTCTGAGCGTACACTATACGTACCACTGTCAATATGTGGATGGTAAGATGTTTTATCTCCTTGGTACACTGTGGTGTAATCATTCCAAATAGAAAGAATTCTGGTTTCATTTCTACACTTTGCCTCGTTGTTTCTTCAATTATTCTCTTAATCTCTTGCCAGTAGTGTTGTGCCTTCCTGCAAGACCACCAGAGATGGTAATATGTCCCCATTTGTGTCTTGCACTTCCAACACATTGGTGATGTGTTTGGAAACATTTTAGCCAAACGTGCCGGAGGAAGGTGCCATCTATAAAATATCTTGTATAAATTTTCTTTGTATGGAATCGACAGTGTCATCTTATAATTTTCTGCCCATAGCTTGTCCCATCTGTCCAACTCTATATTGTGACCTATATTTCTTGCCCAGCTTACCATGTTTTCTTTCACTGTTTCCTCCTCTAATTTATACCTTATTAAATATCCATAAATTTTAGATATTATTTTCTCATCTGTGCCTTTTAAAATTTTATCTAGTTCACTTGGTTGGCTTTGAAAATCATAATGTCTCCGGTCTGCTGTATATTTTGACTCAATTTGAAGGTATGGCCACCAATCAATCATAATGCCTCGTCTTTCCAGTTCTTGTCTCGTAAGTAGGTCTCCCTCACTACTCAACAATTCTTGATATTTCCGCATCTTTCCTATTTCTATACTGTTTGGATAAATTAGCGCCTCCATAGGCGACAACCATCGTGGGATTTTACTTTAGTGTTGCCTTCTGATACCTTGCCATGTTTTATATAGTGCACCTCTTATTACATGTCTCTGGAAGTACGGATGTTGCTTGTCTGTGCCTTCCCACAGAAAGGCATGCCAACCTCGACTCAGATCAAATCCCTCTAAGTATAGCGTTCTCCTATTTGATAGATCTATCCATTCTCTGATCCAATTCAACGCCGCCGCCTTGTAATATAGCTCCCAGTCTGGTAGACCTAGGCCTCCCTTCTCCTTTGTGTCCTGTAAGCATCTTATTTTAATTCTAGCTTTCTTTCCTTGCCAGATGTATTTCATTATTGTCTTGTTGAGATCCTTAAAGAAATCTTTTCCCGGACCAATTGGTATCACTTGGAAGAGATATAGGAGTCTTGGTAATATGTTCATCTTTACAGACGCTATTCTGCCAAGAAATGATAGTTGTACCTTATTCCATCTTTCCAAGTCTTTTCTAATTTGCTTCATCAATTTAGTGTAATTGTCCTCTCTAATAGTTGTTGCTTTTGTAGTAAGCCAGATTCCCAAATATTTTACTTTCTTCACAATTTGCATTCCTAATTCTTCTTCTAATTTTTCCTCTTGTGTCATTGTCATATTTTTGGTCAAGACTTTGGTTTTTTGTTTATTGATCTTAAGCCCCGCCACTTTGCCATACTCCTCTATCTTCTCTAATAATTTGACTCCCACTACTTCCGGCTGTTCCACTATGAAGACCACATCATCTGCGAAAGCCTGTAATTTATACTCCTCATTCTTTATCTTCAGTCCTTTTATTTCTTCTTCCTTTCTTACTTCCTTTAGAAGGACTTCCAGTGAGATTATAAACAGTAGAGGCGATATTGGGCATCCTTGTCTTACCCCCTTTTGGATGCTTATTTTTTCGGTCATATCTCCATTAATTATAATTCTCGCTGTCTGGGAAGAATATATTTTCTTAATCATTTTCAGGAATTTGTCGCCGAAATTCATAATCTGCAGTTGTGCTATAAGGAATTTCCAATTCAAATTGTCGAACGCCTTTTGCGCGTCGAGAAAGATTAGCGCTACCTGATTATTGATGTTTTGCTCGTAGTATTCCAGAACGTTTATTATTGTCCTCATGTTGTTTTTTATTTGTCTCCTTGGGACAAAACCATTTTGGTCGGGGTGTATATAATTATGTATAATTGTTT